ATTTCAATCATTTTAATATTAAAAGATATTTTATAAAAAAATTTACCAAACAACTTTTTACTCTGCAAGTACTTTTATAAAAAAATTTTACCCAACACTTCTAACTTTTCAAAAACAGCACTTTCACAACAAATTCCCTCTAACAGAGCTTCTATTAAAAGCTCCAACCACACCAAACAGGCTCTAATTGTAAAACCCTCTTTCTTTCTTTCTTTCCTTCCTTGTGCAAATTAACTACCGCAAAGAGGCAGGCAGGCAGCACTACAAGGAAACAGGTTTTCTGTGATGTTAAAATTAATCACAAAAATTAATATATTTAGTCACAATTTATGTTTGTATCTAAAAAATTTGATTGGTCACTGATCATGATTTTAGTAATGGAAAAAATTGACATATAATTACTATTGTATTTGTATCGATTCTGTGCCTCACAATTAAGATTATTTGTAACAAAATAATTAGGCACAAAAAGTACTTTATTTGTAACTTTTATAATTCATCACAAAAGAAATTATTAATGATCTCAAATTTAGTTACTGATACTAAATCATTTGTGACATTTCCTTTTTATCACAACTATAACCATATGTGATACAAAAAAATAAAACAAATGCTACCATGTTAGTCACAATTAGAATTATTTGTTAAAAAAAAAAAAAAAAACTTGCTACGACTGATATTATCATGATGAAATGAAAAGGTCACAAATTGAATGTGTGACAATTTTAGTCTTAAAAAAGCATATTCCAAAAAATATAAGAAGGGCTTTTCTGAAAATTCAATAAACACTAGTATCCAATGATTTTGTTACTAAAATAACAAGTATAAAACAATCTCTTGCAAAATTGGTCACAAGAAATTAAGTATATAATTGAATAAAAAATAAATTTTGAATTAAATAGTTATTTATTAAATAATTCCAATTAAAATTGCTTTTAATATAATTAAAAATATAAAATTATATCCCTAAATTTAAATATGTTCAATTTTAAAATTTTTGAAATTCAATTATAAAATAATTATCAAATCTTTATTACATGTTATTGCCGCTACCCCTTTACCTATCGCAGGTCACTTAGAAGATACCATTTACTGGCATAATTCATCCCATGGTGACTTCTCTGTTAAATCTGCCTTCCAACTCCTCCAACAATCGCATCTACCTGACATCCTTGAAGTCAGAGAATGGACATGGATATGGCGGTTATGTTGTCCAAAACAAGTTAAGTTATTTGTTTGGTTATTGAAGAGAGGAAGAATCCTTACGAATTCAGTCCGCTTCGATAGACATATGGCCCCTACTCCAGTTTGTCCTTGTTGCGAGCAATCACCTGAAACCTCATTACACCTTTTCCGAGATTGCTATTACTCATGGCTCATTTGGGATGCCACTAACTTTCTTCTTGAAGACTTCTTCCAGTTGGATCTTGACCCTTTTGGTTGAGAAAAAATTCTTCCAAACCAAGGAGGAGACCCCATGCTTTAGACACATGGCTGAGCATCTTCCTTGCAACTATCTGGTACTTATGGAAAAGCAGGAACAAGTTGATATTTGAGGCGCAAAGGATCCCACCACTACTTATTACTCAACAAGCAAGTAAATTGGCCTTGGAAATAGAAATATAGCTTGCTTTCGAGGCTAAGGCAACTCTCACCTTAAAAACTCCCAAATGGGTCAGTTGGACCCCTCCAGCTCAGCACTTCCTTAAACTTAATATAGATGGATCACATGATCATAATTCAGTTAAGGCAGCTGCAGGGGGACTTCTTCATGATCATTGTGGGCACTAGCGTCGTGGGTGTTGACTCAATGCACTCCAAGAGGGGGGGTGAATTGGAGTTGGAGAATTTTCGCCTCTTTGCAACCACCAAACAAAAATTAAAGAGAGAGTTGAGAAGAAGAGATTGCACAATAATTTTATAGAGGTTCGGTCCAACCACTTTGAACCTAGTCCTCTACCTTGGCTTCACTCACCAAGGATTTTCTCCACACTCTCCACTAGCAAAAACAATGGTGGCTTAAAGGAGCCACTCAATCCTTTACAAGAAGAAGGGTTTCTCTCAAATCTCACCCCTTTACA